AAAAAAAAATCCTCAAAATAATTTTTTCCTCAAATTAGCATTACATGCTTTATTTATCCACTTATTTCTTATAGAATTGTTGGATATATCTTTTTTTTTTCTAAATGAAATAAAATTTCATTGTAGGTGGAACTATTACAATTGAAGTGTTATTTGCAAAAAAGAAAATTATCAATGCTATTTTATTTCATGCATCGAATTTCTTGAAAAGTGGTGCACAGGTAATGCTTATTTAATCGAGGCCTATCGTTTAGAATTGAGGATTATTTTGGTAATATTAATCATAGACAGAATTATATTTTCTAATTAGTAGTGCAAGAATTTAATGGTCTGTATCATAAGCTCACGTATGGGTTACGTTTAATTTAATTTACACGAACATAATAGATAACGTGTTTATTTACTAATTTTAGATATACCGCTTTCATTTGATAATATTTTGTTTCTAAAGGACTATTTTAATAGTTCATTTGTGACTATCTGTTATAAATTTTGAACAAAAATTGAAAAGTTGACAATTGAAAATTTATAAACAATTCTTAAATTTTTGTTTACTTTTTCTCTCAAAATTTTCTCAAATTCTTTTTCCAACTCTTTCTCCCTAGAATTTATTTTGTATTTCTAAAAGTTAAATTGAATTCTGAGTAAATTATTTTACTTGTTTTTATAGGTATTTAAACGAGCACATATATGGTTCTCCTCTCAAGGTGGAGGTCAATATTCACCGAGAACGTTGTATTTTAATTATGTCCCAGATAAAAATTTCCAGTCAGCAAGGTTTGCCTCACTAAGATAATCAATGATAAGAATAAATGAAATTATAATTTTAATTTGTCATAAAAATGAAGATTGTAACTTTTTAATTACTCTAAATTTACTAAAATTTTTTGAAGAAAACACACAATTCTAATTTTTATTAATGCATGCTGTACTGAATAAGCATTCGGATAAAGTAATTTGTGGTATACCTGACGTAATTTGGTTCAGCATATTCACCACCGGTCGATTGATTGGCGTGAAGTCTTTCCAATAGCAAATTTTGCATATTATCATTGGTCATACGATAAGCATTGGGTGATGTACGCTACAAAAATAATATATGGCTTTTTTATTAATGTTTTAATTTTAAAAACAAAAAAAACACAATTCTAATCTTACAAAATGGATGCAACTAACATTATGATTTTTTTATCTTCTCATTCTTAAGTGAAATGAAATCACGTAAGCTTTCATCAGATATTTCAAATTAATTTTTAAAGTAATAAGTTTCGTTTTCACACTCATACTTGTATAATTTTGCTAAATTTTGAATAAAAATTTTATTGAAAAATTTTTGGAAAATTTCAAAAAATAACTTTAGCAGTTTGTCCTTCAATTATCATTCGTACATCTTTCGAATTTTTCTTCAATACAATAAATGGTCCTTTGCGTGAAAATGTACTACGATAAATCCAAAGCAAATAGAAAAGGATAATGAGAGCACAGAATAGGAAGAGGAGTGATATTATTACAGCTGAAAATATTAATTATCATATTAAAATATCATTTACAATTTTATGATTTTATAGTTCTGGAATTACATTAATATTAATATCCAAAGTTATGAAAATTTGAATGATTTCATTATCGATTAAACACCTCAAAAATTGCGTATGCAATTAATAAGAATTAAATTAAACAAACCAATTGATATCCATCGTGTGCCATCTTCAGATGTATCATTGATAGCAAAATAAGTCAACGTATCACCTTTACTTGATTGGTTATCCAAATCAAATTCCTCATCATTCAAATAATCCGAATCGATTATTTCATTTGCTTCAATGATATTTTTTTCTTGAGAAATAAATCATTTATCTTATTAATTAGTAAAATTTTATCAATTATTAAAATTAATGAAATTAATTTTGTACGTTGCTTAGAATTTACACTTAATTTTACTTCAATCGCGTAATTTTTGGTTTAAAATGAATGAAATTAATTTTATAACGACATAATTCTGCTCTATTTAAAAAAAAAAAATAAATGCTGAAACTGACCAAATTCAAATTTGATTTCACTCAGCAATAACCAGCTGCTATTTTTTGCCGATGTTAGTTCCACTCGTAATTCCTTAGCAATTCGACTTGGCACCGGTATTCTTACCCATCTAAAATTCATTTAAATAAAAATAAAAAATTAGAATTGTGCGTTTTCTTCAAAAAATTTTAGTAAATTTAGAGTAATTAAAAAGTTACAATCTTCATTTTTATGACAAATTAAAATTATAATTTCATTTATTCTTATCATTGATTATCTTAGTGAGGCAAACCTTGCTGACTGGAAATTTTTATCTGGGACATAATTAAAATACAACGTTCTCGGTGAATATTGACCTCCACCTTGAGAGGAGAACCATATATGTGCTCGTTTAAATACCTATAAAAACAAGTAAAATAATTTACTCAGAATTCAATTTAACTTTTAGAAATACAAAATAAATTCTAGGGAGAAAGAGTTGGAAAAAGAATTTGAGAAAATTTTGAGAGAAAAAGTAAACAAAAATTTAAGAATTGTTTATAAATTTTCAATTGTCAACTTTTCAATTTTTGTTCAAAATTTATAACAGATAGTCACAAATGAACTATTAAAATAGTCCTTTAGAAACAAAATATTATCAAATGAAAGCGGTATATCTAAAATTAGTAAATAAACACGTTATCTATTATGTTCGTGTAAATTAAATTAAACGTAACCCATACGTGAGCTTATGATACAGACCATTAAATTCTTGCACTACTAATTAGAAAATATAATTCTGTCTATGATTAATATTACCAAAATAATCCTCAATTCTAAACGATAGGCCTCGATTAAATAAGCATTACCTGTGCACCACTTTTCAAGAAATTCGATGCATGAAATAAAATAGCATTGATAATTTTCTTTTTTGCAAATAACACTTCAATTGTAATAGTTCCACCTACAATGAAATTTTATTTCATTTAGAAAAAAAAAAGATATATCCAACAATTCTATAAGAAATAAGTGGATAAATAAAGCATGTAATGCTAATTTGAGGAAAAAATTATTTTGAGGATTTTTTTTT